GGGGGGGTGTCCCCTCCTTTTGTTTTTAAAATAGTAACATCAAGTCCTGGCTGATGTCATGAAAAAAAGAAGGGGGAAGAAAAAGTCTCTGAGGGAGTCTGGACTCCAAAGTGTGACCCACCTCCTCTAAAACAAGGACAAGGAGGCCTCCCTCCACTTACTGCACAGCACCATAAGTCACTCAGTCCCAGGAAACATGCCAAGGCAATGTGTCTTCCCAAGCCAAGATTTTGTTTTTCGGTGGTTAGAGCTTTATAGCTTGAACCTTGAGCAAAGCACAGGCGGAATGAAGGCAAGCAGCCCCCCAAGCAGGACAAGCCATCCTGGCTTCCCCTGCAGGGGTTTTCCTAGGAGTGATGCGCTCCTAGGGTAATGGCCTGGAGCCCCCCAGGGGCACGAAACACCACAAAAGCCTTTCTGCTAGGCTGCACAAGACAGAAACCAGTCACTGAGCATATCCACATGAGAAGTAGGTTGCACGTCCCCATTGCTATACACCAAAGGGAATCATTTTCATCCAAGCACCACCTGGTTTCAGGCACACCTTTGGCCAGGCATTTCCAACCCAAGTTTTAAGGGCATGTGCAAGGACTTACTTTATGGAGAAGCTTGAGGCAGCTTTGTCTATCTCAAGTCACTCCCAACTTGCTGGAAATAGACTGTGAGGCAAGTTGTGGCCGCTGCAGCAAGCTGTGGCTTCATGCAGCCCCTTCCCTTCTGGCATCACGGGGACAACCACACAGGCACTTGCAGGAAAGAGGAGGGACCATCCCCTCTGCAATTCCCTCAATAGTGACATTGGCCAGTACCCCCAGCGACCCTGTCACCCTCTTTGCCTGAAGATTCTCCCCAGGTAAGAAGTTGCTCCAAAAGGTCATCCTTCATGCTTTCTCTGCAGCTTCAAGAGAGATGTTATGTGGCTGTGAACCACTGGCAGGGTCCTCCACAGACGCTGGGGATGGCTGACAGCTTCTAGCTAAGAGGTCTGTGTTTATGCAAACACTGGCCTGTGTTCAGACATCTGTCTCAAAGCTGACAGCTTGGGATCCCGGTCATGCCAACCCTTGCGTCGGACTCCTACAGCTGGCCATGGAAAATCAGAGCCACGAGGTTCACACCACTCTAGTTGGAGTCCATGGTCATGTGCAGGAAACAGCCCCTCTGTGCTGCATGCCTCCTGCCCTATTAATATACAAAGCACTATTAATATACAAAGGGGGTATTAAAGCTATTTACAGTAGAGAAATCTTCTTTAACCGGGCCTGTCAGGAACCAAAAGGGCATCGCCTCCAGGCTCTTCTGTAACTTTTGGTTTATACTTCAACGAATTATTGCACATAGGTCCAGGAGCACAGGCGCAGCTGTATGTACATGGTGGAGGGGTTACCTGCAACAGCGCCCCAGACTCAGACTAAAGGATTTTTCCCCACACTGGAAAAAACAGCTTTGCAGGTGGTGTTACCAAGAGATGCTGGTGAAGGACAGCTACGTGCTCTTCTCGTTTGCCTACAAGGAAGTGAGCAGGCAGGTTGTCGTGCCAAAAGCTGAGCATGCTTCACACTCTTTTGCATGATCAAGGCCTGTGCCTGCCTGTGGCACCCTGCTCTCCCCCAGATCCAGTTCCGTGGCTGCTTTCCCTCCTGCAAAGCTCACGAAGCTGTGCTGACTGCCCGTAACCTGTGTAAGCAGCGAACACGCATGAGGTGGTGTCTGATGAAATTCCACGCTTCTTATTTAAAACCTGTTTCAGCATCAGCAAATGGCTGATTAGCTGTTAGGTAGCAAATTAGAGCTGTTAGGTAGCAAGTTAGTGACTCTGAAATATATTTAGTGAGGAGCGGCACCGTTTTCCCTCATCATCTGCCACATGGAAATGAAGCTGAGCAACTGTCAGAACCAGCTCTAAAAAGGAGTTTCCACAGGTTTTGCAGCTCTCTGCTTCTGCCTCTGCCCTCTTACAGCTTTCGCTTGCCCCAGAGCACGGTGCCCCTAGCTGGAGGCGGGATATGGGCCAGAGGAGTTAAGCCCTTCCAGCAAGCACCCACAATTGGTCAGTGGGAGAGGAGTGCTGGGAAAACAATTTTATCTACTGCATGTTTAACTTTACTTATCTGAAGCTGAAAGCAAACTCTAGGATTTCCCCATCTGTCAATAGAGCTTCATATGGAAAGAACAACATAGGAGAATTTAGTGCCAACCCAGAAGGTCAGAGGATATACTGTGTTTAATTAGATTAAACAAAAAGCAACTGATGAGCTCAGTGCTCACTGTACATTTTCCCTTGCATTCCTTTAATGTCTGTTTGCAGGATTCGTGCCTTTCTGGGACTGCCTGTCACCTCCCTTTCCCAGCGCAGATGCTGGTGGAATTTGACTGGTGTGACTCCCCGTGCATGGAGCCAGCAGGGTGCTCTTCCCTTTCCATGCATTCAGCCAGAGAGATAGGCAGTAACTGATTTAATTTGCTGAAATTATGGTTTCCTATGGTTTTATGGGACCAAATGTTCCTGGAAATAGCAGGAGCTGGACCTGTATTTCAGTGCTTTTTATTAACTAGAGCATGCACCATCAGAGCAAGATTACACAGCTGGGGCAGTAAAGAGTGGGAGCAGTGTTCAGTGAATGATTTTCCTCATTCTGAAAAGAACCTCACCTCTTTTCTCCCCGGAAGATCCCGAAATAGCATAGGATCAGAAGAGAGGGAGGAAAACTATGAGGAGACAGTAGTGTCGCCAATGGCCACCGATTCCCCTGGCTTCAGTGGAGCTGCTGCAGCCCAGGGGATTGCGTGAGTGACACCCTGGCTTTCCCTTCACCAGCACCAGCACCTTGCTTGCTCCTCAGCCACCAGGGTGACTCTCCAACCACCCTCCTAT